CTCGGCCGCGCTCGGCTGCGCTCGGCCGCGCTCGGCTGCGCTCGGCCGCGGTCGTGCTGCGATCGACACATTAATGACTAGGATGATATATACAATGCATAGACGATGACATGTAATCTCGGAATGTCTAGACGGGAAGGTCTTGGGGGTACATTGTTTGTGACACTCGGAACTTTAAAATTCTTAAGGTGACTCCGATGACAATACCTATTCTGTCCTCGCCAAAAAGGCCAACCTCCCAATTTAGAGTATATACGTTATAGACTAGCGCGGGCGCCCCGCGCGCCCCGTGTTCACCTACTCGTAGGCTGCGCAGAGTCGCGCCTGTCGTGATATGCATTATCGCCGGGATATATCACTAGGAAGTATTTACAGTTCAGATATGCTTTCAGCTAAGTCACCGTGACCTTAGATACGAATTGTGTAAACGCAGCTTGTACAACCTGATATGTCGACTGTACCTTAATATGGATCTTTGGCATTTCTCATTAACATGTTTATTTTGTAATAAATTAACATTTTAATACAATTAACCTCTTTTCTATGCTTTACGGCTCATACCCATTTATGAAAAATACTTCCAGTGATCGCCGCGCTCGACGTGTACGGAGCGAGGTAGCGGACGCTGGAAGTTTTTTTTGTATTTAACAATATACATAATAATACACGAGTAGTTACATAAATTTGGTAAATATAAAACAACTTTATTACTTAGAATGTCGCAATTGCATCAACGGCACCGTGTCTAGGGAGAATTGTCGTTGTTCATTTACTTACAGAACATTTTCAATAAGTAGCTGAATACGAGATTGCTTTGTTATAAGTTTGTTAAAACCAATTTGAAATTAACAAAAATAACGGCTGATTGTAACAATTTTTTAAAGATAATGAACGCACCGAATTGTGATGCGAAATTGTAAACGGGCTTGTTAAGAAACAATTATACGTAGGACATCATTTGATATTTGACTGTTTGATGTGAATATTTTGTTTTATATAAAAATGTATACGGGACTAGTAGTCCTATTTTTTTCTTTGTAAGATGTATCGTTTTAGTTAAGAAATTTTGTCACTACGAAAAGTGTACGGAGCTCGGCATTGACCAAACTAATTGAGGACTTTGTAAAGTACTAATGCTTGCATGCAATTGCGACTTAATTTAAATATAACATGTCTTAGGCCTTTCTTTCACATATTGTGAAAATCAATAAATTCAGTTTTTTACAATAAAATAAGTTTTATTTACCCTAAAACATCACCAATATTAAAAATGGCACTGAAACTCGGAAGTAAAAGAGTATCTTTTTGTAATTTTGGTTGTCCTTCTGGTCCCTCTGAATTGGCGCCGAAAACCAAAACACGTACTGAGCTTAGTGTTTTTGCAAAAATGGATTATATCCTTGTTTACTGTCTGTTAATTCTCTAACATATTGGTAGTTACGATACAAACTTAACATTTTATCATAATTTGAATAAATGATTTCGATGTAAAACAATTTCCCAATCATATTGAAGAACTAGATATTGATATGAATTTTCACTTCATATTAGATTTTCTTTTAAAGTAAAGAATTCCCTGGAAGTTGTAGGATATGTAAAGTGCTCCATTTTACAAAAGGTTACAAAAAGTGGCACGTTCAAGTCTGCGATACAAGCCGTGGGCGTCGCCGGCCGATGTAGGCCTGGGGGGACATTTATATCTATTTTACATTTATCGATTATCTAAAGGGGCTGCTACCTCCCCCTGGCGACGCACACGATACAAGGTATATTAGGTCCGTAACATTTGAGCCTCATTCTGCTTTAATAGTCGTAATGGTTTAGTATCGAACTACTAATAAAACTACTACAGTCTCTTGACTACGATACGATTGGTCAGAAAAAATGTAAAATCTACAATATATTGACCATACGTATACTAAACCATT